AGTCAAAAGGCGAAGCTCTCAGTTTACCGATCGATCTACGTTCCCACTCTCATCTATGGTCACAAGCTTTGGGTTGTGACCGAAATAATTTTTTTTTTTTTTTCATTTAGCCTTTATTTATCCAGGTTAGTCTCATTGAGTCACAAGAACTCATTTTCAAGAGAGACCTGTTTTAGGGAGCACATGGTGGGGGTTAAGGGCCTTGCTCATGGACCCAGGGTGGGACGAATGAGAGTGGGGGCAAGTGTGGGTGTTTCACCTACTCCACCCACAATTTTGATGTTGTCGGGGCCGGGGCGTGAACCGGCGATCTTCGGATCACAGGCCCACCTCTCTAACCTCTGCGCCACCACTCCCCCATCAGAATGAGATCTCGGATACAAGCAGCCGAAATGAGTTTTCTCCGCAGGGTGTCTGGGCTCTCCCTTAGAGACAGGGTGAGAAGCTCGATCATCCGGGAGGGACTCGGAGTAGAGCCGCTGCTTCTCCACGTCGAGAGGAGCCAGTTGAGGTGGCTTGGGCATCTGTTTAGGATGCCTTCTGGACGCCTCCCTGGTGAGGTGTTCCGGACACGTCCCACCGGAAGGAGGCCCAGAGGAAGACCCAGGACACGCTGGAGGGACTGTGTTTCTCGGCTGGCCTGGGAACGCCTCGGGATTCCCCCGGAAGAGCTGGCCCAAGTGGCTGGGGAGAGGGAAGTCTGGGCCTCCCTACTTAGGCTGCTACCCCCGCGACCCGACCCTGGATAAGCGGAAGAAAATGGATGGATGGATGGAACTTACCGAGCTCCGTTAACAACCCTCGCATGAATCAGTGTTACTTAACTTGAATAGTATACATGTTATTTATTTATTTATGTAACTTTTAATGAATAATTCAAATGTTTAATTATGAATTTCTACTCTCCACCTCTCCTGAGTCCAGATGAGCTGTCATCAACCCCAACAGACCCTGCAATTTTATTTAATAAAAATAAGAAACACCTCAGCATTTTACCTCAGGTGAAATTTCATAGCATTGATCATTACACATGTATGTCAATAACAAAACAATTCAAATTAACGATAAACATTATAAAATCGGAAAACACAAGTAAACAGCAAAAAAATGATCTCGTATTTACACAGATAAAAATATACCATGTAAGATTAATTATGCGCACATGATCCAATCTAATAATGCAAGGTTAAATCATGATGGTTCATGTCATGATTGCCTGCAAAACTCTATCATTCTACAGATTAAAAAAATACTTTTTCCCTGGTTGGTTTAATTTCACATATGTGTTTGAGTTCCCTCATCTTTTAGTTTACTTTAACCTGTAGTAATTCAAAATCTTGCAAGAAAATAAAATAAAAAACAAGGTCAGACGACCCTGGTAGTCAGTCTGTTTATCTAGGCCACAAGGCTCCAGTCTGTCTGTTCCAGACACGACGACACGATAATCCACACACGAGACTGTGGTAAATGAAAAACATCATCTGTCACATTATCTTCAGAGAGAAGGTCTTTGTGTGTTCATCTACTCACATCAACTTGAGTGCGGAGATTTGTGCTTTCTGTCTGGGCTCCCAGTTTGAACTGTACCTGTTGGTCTTTAAAAGTTATTTAAATAAAATCATGTTAATATAAAAAGGTCACTTACCAATTTTATGCCTGATGTTTGATGATTTCCTCCGCCATAGGTTTTGTAAGTCTGTGTACATTTGCTGTTATTAAGTGACCTTGCACTAGGCAGCTGTTGATATTACAGTTTTCACTCTTATATATCTGTAAAGTAACTTATATTAGTTCTACATTAACAAACATACACTATCAATTCATACAGCAGACACTCACACTCCAACATCATTCACGTAACAAATATACATGACATTTACAATGTTATATTTCCCTTTTCCTGCCTAACTAAGGTTCTTGTCTGTCCCTCAACTTATAAAAACATATTTCCCTCACTGCCTATTCTAAAAACTAACCTGACCCTATTACTACTCTAACAACTTCACACGATCGTCTCCAGGTCTCTCCCGGACCTCTCGTCTGGTCTCTCCTGGACCTCATATCATTTAATCTAGGTGTATATTTTAAACATCTTCCCGTTTCAATAAGCATTGCTATAACCAACACGTTGTTTATTGCTGTGCTCTTTGACCAGTCTGCGTCCAGTCGCAGACCTAAAGGGGACTATCACCAAACAGGATCCCTGGGCCGCCAACTTCTTTCAGAGAGTTAGCAAAGCTGCCCACAAGCACCCAAAACCCAGTAGAGCTTCTTTGAACTGTCAGAACGACCCACACCTCAACGTTTTCCCGACGTTCACGTATTAACGCATTTCTAGTGAACAGCGACGGGCAATTACACCCGTAACGTCTTCGGACTGCACATGCTTCCTGTAAAGATTTCACTGTCAGCATAAATGATGTTATAATTTTCACGCGGGACTTTAAACCTCCAGTCACGCCGTTTGTTTAATTGAATCTAAAATCAAACGAAAGTTCATGTACGGGCTTTTAAATCAACCGGACGATTCTTATTTTCAGGGGAAAAATAGTGTTTTGCGTGTTTATAACGCTCTCGGACCACTTCCGGTTAGCAAGTTGCTAACGTTTCTGGTCCGCTCCCATGCGTGTCCCGGCGAGAAATGTCCCGTATATAAACTTTTACGTCCGATAAATAAAATAAAAAATCCCGTATTATACTGTAATGTTCTACTGCCTGGGCAGCACGGTGGCGCAACTGGTAGAGCTGCTGCCTCTCAGTGAGCAGGTCCTTGGTTCTAACCCCGGTCCAGGGGCCTTCTGGGTGGAGTTTGCATGTTCTCTCCGTGCATGTGTGGGTTTTCTCCGGGTACTCCGGTTTCCTCCCACAGACCAAAAACATGCATGTTAGGCTGATTGGTAACTCTAAATTGTCCCTAGGTGTGAGTGGGAGAGTGAATGGTTGTTTGTCTCGTTTGTCTCTATGTGTCCCTGTGATGGACTGGAGACCCGTCCAGGGTGTCCCCACCCCTCGCACAGTGATTGCTGGTCATGGGCACCAGCGACCCCCGTGACCCAAAATGGAATAAGCGGGTAAAGATAATGGATGGATGGATAGTTCTACTGCCTTTTAGTCCACCAAACTGCGTACGCCGGACCGAAAACAGAGCAGCCTGAAAGTCCTTAATGAACACAGAAATTCGATTTAACAGGTATTCTGCTTACCTCATGAGATGATAATAACCGGCTTGTTCAGTCTGCTCACACTCGGTCACCTGCCGCTGTGTCACCATTAAACAATAAAAAACGAGCTACGACTTCTAAAACGGAAAACCAGTTCACGGCACCAACTGTTAAAGACATGAGCTGGCTGCGGACCACCGGACCCGGAAACCCCCTCCAGCCCATGTCTTTCCCCCCGGCTCGAACCTCCCTCAGAAGTGACAACTCATACTAATCAATAAATCAAGGAAACGTCAATTAAGTTTTATCAATTATATTAAAAAAGGCAGGAAAAGATTACAATTTACAGAGCTGGACTCTCCAGTCTGTGATGTGTTCACAGACCCGGAAGAAGAGCCCCGATGTCCTGTGTCATTAATCATTTAGGATCCTAAGACTCCGCCTTCACAGAAGGGGAGCTCAACCTGTCAGTGTATGAGGGGGCGTGACTAAGTGTGATCTCAGTGGATCTTATGTGGACTGACATGCTAGGAAATATAAGACTGTGCTTCAAAAGCCTTTCTACGTGATGTGGCAAGCAGATTAAACTCTATTCCGTGACAGATATTGAATCCCAGGGAAACTCTCTTTAGAGTTGCTGGCCCAGTTTAACCCAGTCAGAACCGGTTCATAATTTTGTTATAATCCCGTCTCTGAGCAGATCAAAACCATAGGCTCAGTCCAAAAATATTGTAACAGCAGAGAGTGGTGAAGACTGCACAGAGTTCTGTTGAGAGTCAGTCTCCCCACCATCACAGACATTTGCACCTCCAGATGCAGGAAGAGGGCCACCTGCATCATGAAGGACCCCACCCACCCAGCACACACACTTTTTGCCCCGCTTCCCTCAGGCAGAAGGTTGAAGAGCATTAAGTGCAGAACCACCAGGTTTAGGAACAGCTTCTACCCTGAGGCTGTTAGACTCATGAATCTTTAACCAGGATAATCACTGTGAAAATTACTGTGAAAAAAATCACTGTGAAAAATCACTGTAATGCCACTTGGTTATTATGTGCTGCTGACTAGCCATGATGCTGATCTCATGCTGCTGATGTATTTCATGTTACTGTGTTCGTTCATCCTCGTCTGCTCACACAAACTCATGTTCATGCTGCTGTTGTTTGGCGCATTGTTTTGTTCAATTAGTGCTTAGTGTATTCTTAATTTACTCTATCCTTAGTTTAGTGAATTTAGTGTATTCTTAGTGTATTTTTAGTTTAGTGCTTAGTGTGTTCATACTTTGGCGTATTGGCTCGTGTCTTGGATCTTATTACAGTTTTTCTGTACAATTTGTATTTTTGTTGGATGTAACTGGGACCCTGTGTACATAGTTTTTTTCCACCTCGTGTACCGCATGTGATGTGAATGACAATAAAGAACCTTGAATCCTTGACTCCTTGAAGAGCTAGCAGGTCTTAATATACTGATAAAAAAAACAGAAGTTCTGAAAAATAAAGACAACGGTGGAATAAGTTAAAGGTTAGGGTCATCGTTAGGTTATCATTTGGTTAGGGTGATTACAGATGTTACTCCAGACATTTGTAGATCCATTGGTCATGTTTTAAGATTAAAGTAACCAAAATATTTGATTGAACAAATTTTTCAGAACTCTGATAAAAATCTACCAGGACACAGTTTAGGTTCACCCTGGAGGTCTCTGTTCAGATGGATTTAGTGGGTGACATCTGTGATGTCAGTGGGGTTTCTCTGTCTAAATAACAGTTAATACATGAATTAAAACGGATAATCTACTCATGTTCTGATGCTTGATTTATCAACACCGTGGTGGGTTTCCTTCAGGACTGTGATGCATTGTGGGAAGACTTCCACAACAAGCTGGTGGACTCAACTCTGTTGAACCTGGATGCGTACCTGCAAGAGTTTCCAGATCTGAAGGTAAGAAGGTTGTTTTCTGTTCAGGAAGATGACAGAAATATTTAAGAGCACTGACTGTGTGTCATTTCAGCTACGTGTGGCCAAAAGAAGCCGGAAACTCATAGACTATGATAGTGCGCGCCACCATTTAGAAACTCTACAGACTTCTGGAATGAAAAACGACCGCAAAGTGATGAAGGTGAGTCTGCTCAGATGAGCAGAACCTGAATGTGCTGCTGTTCTCTTGTCTCTGTCCAGAGGTGTTCAGGTCTGACACGTGAAGTTAGTTTTATTCTTTCTGTTTGTGATCAGGCAGAAGAGGAGTTGAAGAAGGCTCAGAAAGTCTTTGATGAGCTGGATGTGGGTCTGCAGGATGAGCTGCCCACTCTCTGGGACCGGTGAGTCCAATCACACACCTGTCAGAGGATCTGGACTGGTGAGTCCGGTCGCACACCTGTCAGAGGATTTGGACCGGTGAGTCCGGTCGCACACCGGTCAGAGGATTTGGACCGGTGAGTCCGGTCGCACACCGGTCGGAGGATGTGGACCGGTGAGTCCGGTCGCACACCGGTCAGAGGCTCTGGCCTTTGGCTGAGGTGAGGAACTTCATGTCCTTTGAGTTTTCAGTATTTTCAGGAGTCTGAAGGTACCTGCAGACAGTCTGTGATTTGGAACCATTGAGGCCCTTTTCAGCAGTTCCTCCTTGGGTCCATTTTAGCCTGCTCAGGCCAGTTCCTTATTCTTTTCCACAGGGCCTTCTTCATGGAACCGGCCTGTTTTTTTCCATACCTACTTCTCTGCGGTTCCATTGAGGCCAAGCAGGACCCTAAAACATGATGTCAGCACACTGTCGATCACTGATTAGTCAGGGGGAGGAGTCACTGGATCTTTCAGAAACTTTTCACACCAATCCACCATTTGAAATTTCTCCGAACCCGGAGCAGCGACTGAATCTATTTTAAAGATTTTAAAAACAATAATAACACTGTGATCTAATGCTGAAGTACAGGCTTTTTTGTGCTTGGTGGCCGATGACAAAATTCAGAGCGAGCTAGATAGAGTTCCTCCGGTCTCCTCAGTCCTCTCCACTGGAGCCTTGTAGCCAGGCTGGGCATGGCGTCCGTTTCCCAGCTCCGAGCTCCGTTGGTCACAGTGGAAGATCCTCCATAGTGCTGACTCGGGGCTTGGGCTCCAGATCCCAGCCATGCATGCTCTGCGGACTCTGAGCCCTGCTGGTCACTACGGAGGATCATACGAGCTGGTGACTCGCAGGAGACTGTTGCCCGGCCTCACGTAATCATGTAGGCCAAACCCCAATCCCAGCAGACAAGCGGACCAGGACGGGTCTGGGACAGATGGTGGAAACGATTTTTTAAAAAACATTTTATGTGTAAAATAATAATTTAAAAATATAATGTATTTTTTTAATCAGTGAAGATTAAAAAAAATAAAAATAAACAGTGCTGGCTTTATTTCAGTTTGTGATTCTGAATCTTGGAACTCTTCCAGTCTGTGATTCAGAACCTTGGAGATCTTCCAGTGTTATTCTGAACCTTTGTAAATCTTCCAGTCTATAATTCAGAACCTTTGGAGATCTTCCAGTCTGTGATTCAGAACCTTTGCAGATCATCCAATCTGTGATTCAGAACCTTTGAAGATCTTCCAGTCTGTGATTCAGAACCTTGAAAATGTTCACACTAAAACAACCGTTTGTCTTTCCTCTACAGTCGAGTCGGTTTTTACATTAGTACCTTCAAGAGTGTGACGACTCTGGAGACCAAGTTTCATCGCGAGATCTCACAGGTGAATTCTCTGCCTTTAGTTTGTCTGAAATGTTCAGTGGAACCGTCCAACAGAATCTTTGTGGTTCCTTCCAGGTGTGCAGGGAACTGTACGAAATCATGACCAAACTGGGAGAACAACATTCTGACAAGATATTCACCATCCAAGGAGCCCCGAGGTAATCTGATGTCTGAAGTTCCTGACACATCTCAGAAGTTCTGTTTGACCCATGAGGAGTTCTTGATTCTTTTGGTTTGATTTGTTTTCTAACATAACATTAAAGATGTGTTGGTTCTGTTTGACACAGCTAGTCAGTTCATTTATTTTCTGCTATTTTCCAGCACAAGTCCAAACCTCCAAATCCAGGTTTCACCTCATTTTGTGTTAGAACACATCCAGTGCAACATTAAACAAACACCTCTGGATCTTCTGTTTCTGCTTCTTCAGTGATTCTGGACCACTGCGCCTTGCTAGAACGCCATCACCACCAGAAGATGAGAGTCCCCCTGATAGTCCAGATGCTGGCTTCAATCACATGCTCCATCCGGTTTCACCTGGACCACCCCGTCCCAAATCCCCAACACAGGTAAACCAGAGTTCAGGCTGAAAGGGTTAATTTCTTGTAACACCTTTATAAAAAATCCACACAAGACAAAGTGTAAGTTTTCAGAACGGTCCTCTGCAGAGGTGGGAGTTCAGCTCGACCAAGCGTCAGAGATGAAGTCCGACTTCCTCCTCTGTGACGTTCGTATTTATTGAGCAAAGTGGGTGTGGGAACAAGAACAGCGAACTCAGCTTCTCTGACACAGCAGAGACACAAATATGACAAAAGAAACACAACAGAGACCGATTCGATTCGATCCAAAGGTAGGATGTACAAGGTCAGAACAAAACAGCATCTGTTGTTTGTAGATTTCCAGGGTCTGGTCTTAGCACACACACACATGAGCTGCAAACAGGAACTCTGGGTGCCCGTGTGTTTCAGCACGTAGGATAAAACAAAGTGGACTTGAGTTCACGACTGAAGTTTTAGCAAATAGTAAGAAGTCTAAAACAGTTTAAATGATAACATTTTTAAAATTACCCAACACAAACAAACTCCACATGGTTTCCAGTGAGACCTTAAAGGTGGACTGGGTCACAGGATCTATTGGTTCAGAATCCTCTAAAACAAGGACTGATGTTATAAACTGATCAAAACTGAAAGATTGTTTGCTCCAGAACAAACAAGAACAGATTATTTTTTTAATCTGCATGTATCTGGACCCTCAGTCAATGGATTGGTCCATTTTGGGTCTTGGACCCCAGAGTCAGGTCCTACTTAATCTTCTGGGAGGTCCCAGGGCTGGGTGGTCCTGTAGACACTGCCCCAAACTTTTCCAAGACCCCCACCCATACACAAGTGAAATCCCAAACTCACCATCACCTGTCTGCACAACCACTGATACCAGTATTTTACCGCAACATACCCTACCTTTTGTAATTATACAGGCAACATAATAAATGAAAAAACATTTAGATCACAACTTTAGTAATAATACAGGCAACAGAATACATAAAAAACATTTAGACCACACCTTTAGTAATAATAAATGGTAAATGGACTGTATTTATTCAAGGATTCAAGGATTCAATGTTCTTTATTTGTCATTTGCACCCCTGTGGTACATGTGGTGGAATGAAATTATGTACACATGGTCCCAGTTACATCCAACAATAAAATGCAAAAGAAAAACAGTAATAAGATCTAAGATATGAACTAAGAAAAACATCAACTAAATATACACCAAGCACTAATAGCACAAAAACATCACGTTGAACAGCAGCACAAACATAAGTCTATGTGAGCAGACGAGCACGCATGAACACATCAACATGAAACAGATCAGCAGCAACATGAAACAGATCAGCAGCAACATGATGTGATTTTTTTCACAGTGATTATTCTGGTTAGATATTCATGAGTCTTAACAGCTTCAGGGTAGAAGCTGTTCCTCAGTCTAGTCATTCTACACTTAATGCTCCTTAACCTCCTTCCTGAGGAAAGGTGGGCAAAAAGTGTGTGTGCTGGGTGAGTGGGGTCCTTCATGATGCAAGTGGCCCTCTTCCTGCATCTGAAGGTGTAGATGTCTGTGATGGTGGGGAGGCTGACTCCAACATCTTCTGTGCAGCCTTCACCACTCTCTGCAAAGCTTTTCTTTCTGCAGCTGTGCAGCCTCCATGCCACACGTTGATGCTGGAGCACATGATGCTCTCCACTATACACGTGTAGAAGGAGGTGAGGACTGAGCTTCCCAGACCAGCTCGTCTCAGCCACCTGATGAAGTAGAGTCTCTGATGAGCTTTCTTGATCAAGCTGGTGGTGTTGTTGCCCCATCTGAGGTTGTCATTCAGGTGTACACGTAAGTACACCAAAGTACTTGTAGCTGGAGACCATTTCCACCGCAGATCCTCTTACTGTATGTTCAGGGGGTTATAGGTGTCTTTGTTCCTTCTGAAGGTCACAATCATCTCCTTTGTGTTTTTCAAATTGATGTGAAGGTTGTTCTCTTTGCACCAGCTCTCCAGATGTTCCACCACCTGCTTGTTGCTGGACTCATCATTGTTTGTGATGCATCCCACCACCTCTCTATCATCTGCAAACTTTACAATGTGACAGCCTGGATGGGTAGCTGCACAGTCATACGTGAGCAGAGTGAACAGGAGAGGGCTCAGCACACATCCTTGAGGAGAGCCAGTGCTGAGGGTTATGGTGGAGGAGAAGTTGTGGATCTTCACAAACTGAGGTCTGTTTTTTAAGAAGTCTAGTACCCAGTTGCAAATGGAGGGGCTTAGTCCTAGTGCGAGTAGTTTGTACATCAGGGTTTGGGGTATCACTGTGTTGAAGGCAGATGCGAAGTCAACAAAGAGCATACGGACGTAGGAGTCCTTCTGCTCCAGGTGAGTGAGTGCAGTGTGGACCACAGAGGAGATGGTGTCCTCTGTTGATAGGTTCTCGCGGTATGCATACTGATAAGGGTCCTCGTTGATGTTGATGGTTGTTTTGAAGTTCATGACCAGTTTTTCGAAGCATTTAGCGACTATCGGGGTGAAGGCCACTGGTCGATGGTCATTCAGACCAGTCACTGTAGAGCTCTTTGGGACTGGGATGATGGTGGCAGTCTTCAGGCAGGTGGGAACTGTTGTCAGTTGAAGTAAGGTGTTAAAGAATTCAGCCAGCACTTCGTAGAGCTGATTGACACATTCTTTCAACATTTTCCCAGGATGTTGTCTGGGCCGGTTGCTTTGTGAGGATTAATCCTTCTGAAAGTACTCCTCACTTCTGTTGATGTCATTCTGAGAAGCTCTTCATCCGGTGGTGAGGTGAGTCTGGTGCTGGGTGGTTTTTTGGGTCTTCAAAGTGTGCATAGAACTTGTTGAGGACATCAGGCAGTGATGGGTCTTTGGAGGATTGTTCACTCTTGCCTTTATAATGTGTTATACACTTAATGCCCCTCCACATGCTCTGTGGGTCTTGTGAGGTGAATTGACCCTGGATCCTCTGTGCATATTCCACGTGTTGGTATGGCCACATGCTGGTAAAATCTTGGGAGGCAATCTTTTAGATTCATGTGATTAAAGTCACTAGCCGCTACGTACCTCAGGGTGTTTTCTCTGCAGCGAGCTGAAATGATCATGCAGCTCCCGCAGAGCGTCTGTAGCATTAGAATCAGAATCAGGATAAGCTTTATTATCATTACATCGAGATGCAATGAGAATATGTCCGTGCAGCCGTCTAAAAGATGGGCGGAGTGCACGAAAGATGGGCAGAGTGCACGAAGCTGTTGCTCAAAGCTCGACCTTCTTATTCTTTTCAGAATACATTTTTTAGATAGAAAAAGGGGCAAAGCCATTACGAGAGGATAGTGGCATTACAAAAAGATCTCTTCACACCTTGTCCTAACAGGACACGATTTAAGGCATCAAAACCTCTGCCAGCAAGCATATTTATGTACACGTTACATATGCATTTACGACGAGGCAGTCCATGAAGCACTAACAGCTAGTCCATTGTCCTGATAAGATGATGGTCAGCTGGCACAGTTCTGATAAACCCCCTACCCCCATCTAACCCCCAAAACAGGTGGGGGTATGAATTGCGATAGATGAAGCTTTTCCTTAGTTAACATATTTCCCAGGAGAAATTGATGTTGGTCTGTTTCGAGGCCAACCGGGGAGTCATATTCAGATAACCACAATTATTGACTTATTCAGGCATATTAATTTTTCCTTGTTAGCCTTTGAGTCTGTACTGATACTTCCAATGTCCAAAATGGCCAGATTAGGGTACTTTCTACTGGTCCGTGCTTATGAGCCTCTTCAAGGTCATTTCTATACTGACTAGTCCCCAAGCCGCAGGTGGCCTGCAATTCAAATCACTTCTAACTTATGGTTTCGCTCGTAAATCAGCTGATTTTGAGTCCTCCAAGCATGAACCAAACCTTCACATAGGCAGCAGCCTGACGAGGTCCAAATTAGTTGTGGCTGTCTTCTTTGTTTGTTGATAATTCATAAATTCAGAGACTCTACTTCCTCAGACGGCTGAGGCAAGCTGGTCTGGGAAGCTCAGTCCTCACCTCCTTCTACAGGTGTGCAGTGGAGAGCATCCTGTGCTCCAGCATCAACGTGTGGCATGGAGGCTGCACAGCTGCAGAAAGAAAAGCTTTGCAGAGAGTGGTGAAGGCTGCACAGAAGATGTTGGAGTCAGTCTCCCCACCATCACAGACATCTACACCTCCAGATTCAGGAAGAGGGCCACCTGCATCATGAAGGACCCCACTCACCCAGCACACACACTTTTTGCCCCACTCCCCTCAGGAAGGAGGTTGAGGAGCATTAAGTGTAGAACCACTAGACTGAGGAACAGCTTCTACCCTGAGGCTGTTAGACTCATGAATCTCTAACCAGAATAATCACTGTGAAAAATCACATCATGTTGCTGCTGATCTGTTTCAATGTTGATGTGTTCATGCGTGCACATCTGCTCACAGACTCATGTTCATGTTTGTGCTGATGTTCAATGTTTTATGTTATGAGTGCTTAGTGTATATTTAGTTGATGTTTTTCTTAGTTCATATCTTAGATGTTATTACTGTTTTTCTTATACATTTTATTGTTGGATGTAACTGGGACCTTGTGTACATAATTTCGCTCCACCACATGTACCACATGAGGAGTGAATGACAATAAAGAAACTCTGACTCTGACTCTGATAAACCAGGATCCAGACTATTCCAAAAACAGGAAACCTATTATCATAAATCCAATTGTATGCCATTCCGGCATCCTCGTTCGATAGCAGAGGTAGACACATCACCCTCAGAATTTTTTTTCTTCTTCTCTGTACTGCGGTGCAGTCAGACGTGTTTCCCGGTGCTCCGCACCCCCCCCCCCCCCGCTTCCCTGCTTGCTCTCTTTCATCTTGTGAACCCTTAAAGAGCCTCTTTTTTTTTTTTTTTACTTGCATATCTTCCTAATTCAAAGGATCAGCTGGTCTCTCAACAAAATTGATCAAGTTCTCCCGACAGGAGTCAGGGTAAGGAGGAC